TAAAGTCCTCTAATCTCAGCTGGATACAATTCGGTCACCAGGAGCCCGAGGCAGCAGAGGGGGACCTGGCCTCAGCCTGTCCCTGTAACCCAAGCCAAGCCAGTCTCCATGCCAGCGAAGTTAATCCAACAGCACCCAGTGCTAAATGGCATGGCCAAGGGCAGTGCTGGCCTGGAGCCCATCTCCCTCTCCAAAACCTAGGAAAAGGCTGGGGAGAGGGCAATCAGGAGCCATGGGAAGGGGGGAGCAGGAACCCAAGCCGTGAGAGACAGTACTGGGCAGAGAAGGGTCTGCCCTGAGTCTCAGTTTGCCAAGCTCTAAAATACAGGGAGCACCAAAAGCTCCCAGTGATGCCACATCCCTCGGGCGGGGACAACACAGGGATTTGCCCTTGGGGACACCTGAACCCCCCCGTGGGTCCCCCAGGCTGGGCACCACGCACCTCTCGGATCTCCTTGATCTTGCAGCCTCCCTTGCCAATGAGGGACCCGCACTGGCTGGCGGGCACCACAAGCCGGAGGGTGACCGGGGGCCGGCTGGCAGCTGTGCTGTTGGTCATGGAGCTGCTGATGTCCTGCGAGGAAGAGGAGGTGTTGAGGGCTCAGCCCTGCTGGAACGGCACGCGCTGGGGACGTGCCCGGCACAGGGACAGGGAGGTGACGCTGGCACCAGTGGCCGAGGCCAAGGTGACCTCGGGGCTTTCCCAGGACTTCCTCAGCAGCCCAGAAAAAACACAAGATGTATTTTTGGGAAGCAGCATCCAAACTCTGCTGCCTCAATGGAAATGAAATGGGTTTAGGCACTGGCCCCAGCTGGGTCCCACCTCAGCCAAGCAGGAACCGGTGCTGGAGGGGGACAAGGGAACGGGCAGGGGGGGCTCGGGGACTCCACGGCTCCAGGGTCAGCACGGAGCCTCCCGCTGCACCAGGGATCAAGGCAGCAGCTCTGGGAAAAACAATCCCGGCGCCGATTACAGCGGTCATGTGCTGGCAGGGGGAGGGGAGGCACAAGGCCAGGGCTCAACTGACCTACTAAAAGCAAAGCTTCAGCTCCAAGGCCGGTGCCCAGAGCGCCGCAGGGCCGTGCAGCCCGTGGAGGGCCCCGGCTCCCTGCATTGGGCACAAACAGCTCCAAGCCCTGCAGCAGGGGGGTTGCAAGCTAACGCTGCAGTGAGAGCAGGGGGGTTTGGGGACACAGCTGCCAGCACAGGGTTATTTCTCCCTGAGTAGTGTCCCAAATCTAAAGGGCGATAGAATTTGTACCCCCCACAGGCAAGGTGAGGGCCACAGAGCTCTACCCCTCATCAGGTGAGGAGCACTCCCAACTCCTGCTCCCTCCAGCGTGGAAATCTTGACATCACAGCCCTGAGCAGGCTCTAACACCTGCAAGATCCAGGTGATCTAGCAGCAAAATTCCCCCTGGAAGTCACTGATTTAACAGGACCAGGGACACGAGGCAGCTCCTCCAGCCCCACACAGCTGCAGCTGCAGCTCCTCCTTGGCAGGGCTGGGGAGAGAGCTCAGCCCTGGGGCACACTAGAGGGAAGTGGCACCAGCACGAGCAGAGCCAGGGGGATTCCAAGCCCTGCTCTGCCCCTCGCCGTGGGCAGGAAGTCCCTGTGGGGCTCTGGCTCCAGCACTGCCTGGACCTTGCCCCAGCACAGCGCCGGACAAAGATCGGGGCCAGGCAGGGAAACGCCGGCTGCCCGTGCGGAACAGCGGCCCTGGGCCCCCTGGGGCCCATCCCGGGGTCAGCTCTTCCACAGAGAAGGGATAAAGGGGCAGTGACGGCAGGGCATCGTGGACACACCTCTTCCAGTTTGTCAATGATCATCGCAAAAGCTTTGAAGATGGCGTTGGTGGGTCCCGCGAGGGTGATGATCCGCTCGGGGCAGTTCCCTTCCGAGATGTTGATGCGAGCTCCGCTCTGCGGGGAGGCAAACGCCGCCTCAGCGCTCCTGCCGCACGGGATTCCTCCGGATCCCCCGCCGGGGACAGAGCCCTCCCTCCCCCTCCTCCTCCTCCTCCTCCTCCTCCTCCTCCTCCTCCTCCTCCTCCCCTCCCTCGGCTCGGGCAGCCATCTTCTCCTCCTCGGCTTCCTGCCGCGCCTGCCCACAGCTCCCGGCATTCCCCGCGCCGCCGCGGCCGCGCTGCCTGCGGAGCCCGCGCCAGGCCCGCCATCCTGCCCCGCGCCCGCAGCCCGCACTCACCTCCTCACGCATCTTCTTCACCGACTCCCCTTTCTGTGAGGGACAGAGAAGGGAGAGAGGCGTCAGCGCGGCGCTGGGCAGGGAGGGAGCCAGGGAGGGGGACGGGGAGAAGGGCAAAGGGAGGGCTAGGAGAGTTTGTTCCTCACTTACCTTCCCAATGATGCTTCCCACCTCCTGGGATGGAAACAAAAGCACCGTTAGTCAGCGTTTTAAAAACTCCTGGAGCCCCAAGCCTAAACTCGGCTCTTTTCACAGTCAAAACAAGCTCCTGAGCGTGTGACTTCTGCCCCTCAGATAACTGGGGTTTATCCCAGTTGTGCTGATCTTGCTCCCACCTTAGTTCCCATCGGGTCGTTCTGCCCCCCCCCCAATAATTAGTTTCTTCGCTGGCTGCACCCCAGGACCTGCCCAGGCACCAGCAGCACATTCCTGGCCCCACAGCAGCTCCAGGAGATCCCCCGGAGGCCCCCAGCCCACCCCGTGCCAGCCAGGGCTCCACGCAGGGCGCTGGGGACACGAACCTTTCCGTGCATGAGTAGCCGGATGGTGAGCGTGACATTGAGACCCCCTTCGATGACTCCGGTGTCCATGGTGGGCAGCGCGGGGTCGGCTCAGGCTGCGGCAGCGCTCGGGCCTCGGCTGGGGGGAGAGGGGCTGGGTGAGTGAGGGGCTGGGTGAATGAGGGGCTCTGCCAATCCCCCCCAGCCTGTCCGGGCAGGATTCCGGCCTCCCCGTGCTGCCTCGCCCCTCAAATCACCCCCCGAAGTGTTGGGACGATCCGCGGTGGTTTGGTTCCTCCTCCTATGAATTTCCAGAGCTGAACTGGCCTGATCCCACCCGGATCCAGCAGCTCTTGGGGTCATGAGGGTCCTGCTCAGCCCCTGCCTCCTCCCAGCCCTGCTCCTTGCAAGGGCTTCTCTGAGGGACAACTGAATACTCCAGGGTGACCCCCGATAGCACCGGGACACAAACGGTTCCTGGACACAACCGGGGATGCCGAGGGGGCACTGGGAGCTAATCGTGGTCCCTACAGGTCCGGGGAAGCTCCCTGCGAGCCCCACACTTTTCCCAGCCCAAATCTTCCTGCAGCTGCCCGATGGGAGCGGGAATCCCAGTGCCAGGGATTTGGCCCGCTGGGCAAACGGGATTATGGAGAAAATAAACGCCATCCGCGTTCCCTGCCCGCGCGGGGCCCCTCGGAGCAGGTTCCGAGGCGATTCCCTCAGACCCAGATAAGGCCACATGAGCGCACGATCAGGTTTCAAACCACCTGAGTCGGCAGCGGTTGCAAAACAGCCCGGCCGGCCCCAGCCGAGCTTTTCACGGGAATCCGGTAAATAAACTCCCATTTGTGCCACCGCTTCTGCCCCATCAAAGTTTAACCACGGCCGAGGCAGGCCCGGGGCCGCGCTGCCTCGCTGGCACCGCAGGTTTTGCCGCGGCCTCCATGAGCTCAGCCCGGCATTTCCCCCGCATCCAACCCGGTTCGGGGAGCGGAGTCCGGGATCGCAGCCCCGGCAGCGGGGCGAGGGCAGAACGGGCCCCGAGCCCGCCCGCCCCGGCAGCCCGGGCCCGTCCCGGGGACAAAAGCGGCCGAGCGGCTCCGCCGGCGGTGACGCGGGCCCGGGCCGGGCTCCCGGCGAGGCCGTTCCGCAGGGAAACTTCCCCGAGCTGCGCCCGGCCCCGCGCCCGATCCCCCCGCCAAAGCCGGGGACGCGGCTGCTGCGGTTGGGACGCGGCTCCGGAGCCATCTCAGCCCTGAGGGGGATTGGGGTGGGGGGGGAAGCGGGCTGGGGGCCCCGGCTCCGAGCTGTCCCGGAGCGACCCCGGGGCCGCGAGGGAGCCCCCGGATGGGGCCCGATCACAAGGCGGGTGAGGGGGATCCCGGGCCGGCGGCTCCGAACGGGACCCGGAGCCCGGCGGGGGGAAGCGGCCCAGTGCCGGGAGAACGAGGGCGCCGCGGGGAGCTGGGCTCGGGCGGGGGAACTGGGTCTCTGCACTCCGGACCGGGCCGGGAGGTACCGGCCCGGGGCTCCGAACCCGCTCTGGAGCGGGGATCGCCGTTCCGCTCCGGGCAGGCCCGGGGGGAAGATCCGGGATCGCCCGGGGGGGGCGGCGGCCCCGAGCGGGCCCGTCCGTGCGCCCCCTTCCCGCTCCGGCGGGGGGAAAACAACAGCGCGGGATGGCGGAAAAACCGGGCCCGGGCGGGAAAAGAAAAACTCGAAAAATTAAAAAAAAAAAAAAATCCAAAATTTAAACTCCAAGAAAACGGAGCAGAAAGAAAAGAAAAAAAAAAAAAAAAAAAACGCCCCTCTGGGCCCCCCCGCAGCCGGCCCGGGCGGGGGGCGGCGGCGCCATGTGACGCACGCGGCGCCCCGAACCCCCCCGGCGCGGCTGCTCCGGCTGCGGCGGCCGCGGGTCTGGGAGGGGGCGGCGGGCGCGGCCCGATTTACACCCGCCCCGACCCGGAAACGCACCGCGCGCGCGGGGCGGGACAGAGCGGCCTCCGCCCCGCACAGCGCTCCCTGGCGGCGGGGAGGTCCGGGAGGGGACTGGGGGCACTGGGGGGGCCCTGGGGGAAATGGGGGTAAAGGGGAGTGATTAAAGGTGTGGTGGAATTGTGTATGGGGAGCTGTGGGGCGCTGCGGAGCAATAGGAAGGGCTGGGGGGCAATAGGAAGGCTTGGGGGGCAATAGGGGCACGGGGGGCAGCCCCCCCTCCCGGGCAGCACTGGGGTCTGTGTCCCCCCCAAGCCCAGCCCCCATCGGCGCCAAGGAGACGCTGACACACATTGGGGTGTCCCAGAGCTTTATTGGGGGACAGCGGGGACACTCCGGAACCCCCCGGGAACAGGGGATGGGGGACACGGGGACAGGATGGGGGTCCTGGGGTGGTCACAGGGGTCCCAAGAGGTCCCAGGTGGCTCCTGGTGGTCCCAGGGGTTCCAGGAGGTTCTGCGGGGTCCCAGGTGGTTCTGGGGGTCCTGGGGGGTCCCAGGAGCCTCAGTCGGAGCTGCTGGAGGAGGAGGAGGACGACGACGAAGAGCGCTGGGGGGGACAGCAGAGCCATGAGCCCTCGAGGGGGGCTGGGGGTGACCCCCTGTGTCCCCCCCCGGGTGCCCCCCACCTTGTGCCTCTTGTGAGCCTTCTTCATCCTCTTCTTCATCTTCTTCGCCGCCTTCTTGTCCAGCCCGGGGGGGAACGAGGGGAGCACCCCCGGCTGGTTTGATAAAAGAAGTCACATCAATCTGGGGGGGGGAAGAAAAGAGGAGATTGGGGGGAGTCTGACCCCAGGGGGGTCAAGGCAGCCCCCCCAGTTTGGGGTGTCCCCCTGTACCTGCACCAGGGTTCCACATGCTGGGAGACTCCAGGACCTGGGGGGGCACGGGGGGTGAGCGGGGACCCCCCGAACCCCCCAGCGCGGGGGGGACCCCGCCGGCACCCAGCGGAAACTGAGTCACGGCGTTTGGGGGGCCCCCCCGGGACTGGCCCGAGCCGGGCGGCGGGGGGGCTGTGGGGGAGCCGGAGGGTTTGGGGTGCACGCGGGGATTTTGGGGTGCGGGGGGGTCCTGGTGCTTCGCTCCCACCTTCGCTCCGGCCGCGGCCCCTCCCGGCAGGAAGCGGGGGCGGGGCTTGGGTAGGGGCGGGGCTTGAGCCGGGCTCCTCCCCGGGGGCGGGGCCTAACCCTGTCCCCTCCCGCTCCCCTCTCTGCCCGCTCCGTGCCTCAGTTTCCCCGCACGTCCCCGGTGGGTTCCCGGTGTCCCCCAGCCCGCCCCGTGCCTCAGTTTCCCCGCACGCACCTGGCGGGGGGCGCTCCCCGGGCCGGGGTCCCCCGGGGCCGGTGCGGGCCCCGCGGCCAAGCGCTGGAGCCGCTGCAGCGCCCGCTCGGCCGAGAGCCGCGCCTCGGGGTCCGGGTCCCAGCAATCCTCCAGCAGCTCCGGCAGAGCCCCCCCGGGCTGTGGGACCCCCGAACGGGGACAGCCCCCGCTGCCCTCAGCACCGGCGCTGGGCAGTGGGGGGCACCCGGGGCGGCGACCCCCCAAACACCCCCGGCACCCTGGGACCCCCCTCAGGTTTCCCGCGCCCCCCGCACCTCCCTGAGACCCTCTGGGGATCCCCGGGGTGACACCCAAGGCAGGGGCACCCCGCGTACCCTCGGCACCCCCGGGCACCCCAAACCCCCCGGACACCCAGGCAGGCCCCCCCCCGGACCCCCCGGATCCCCGGGGTGCCCCCCACGCGGCCGGGGGTGCCCCGGGGGGGCTCTGACCTGGGGGGCGCGGTGCCAGGCCGGGGGGATCAGCGGCCGCCGCCTCTCGTCCGCGGCCAAGCGCCGCAGCTGAGCCCCGCTGGGGCTGGAGCCCAGCTCGGCCTCGTAGGCCAGCCGGAACGGCGGCACCGGCGCTCCTGCGGGGCGGCCGGGGGTCAGCGGGGCCGGGGGCCGCGGGCGGCGCGGGGAGCGCGGGGCTCACCGGGGCTCAGGGCCTGGCAGCGGGACAGGATCTCCCAGAGCAGCAGGGCCAGCGCGTAGACGTCGGCCTGGCGCAGCGCCCGGCCCCAGGCCCGCAGGTCCAGGCTCTCGTCCAGGATCTCGGGTGCCAGGTACCGCTGGGTGCCCGCCTGCGCCCGACCGGGCCCTCAGCGCGGGGGCACGGGGCCACCGCGGCCACCGGGGCCACCGGAGCCATCAGGCCAGGGACAGGCTTGTGTGGGCACGTGGGCTCAGCTGGCATCCACAGCCCACACTGCCAGTGACATCTGGGGTGCCCAGGGCTGTCACCTTCCCTTCCCTTCCCTTCCCTTCCCTTCCCTTCCCATGCCATCCATGGACCCCATGCCACCCCACGCCACGCCATGCCACCGCTGTCACCTTCCGGATGGCCACGGCGTGCCGGGAGCCGGCGCTGTCCTGGGCGCGCGGTGGCAGCGCCAGCGCCAGCCCGAAGTCGCCGATGGCGCAGGTGCCGTCCTCCCGCACCAGCACGTTCTGGCTGCTCAGGTCCCGGTGCACCACGCTGGGCTTGTACAGCCCTGGGGGCACCGGGGATCACGGGGGGACAGGGCAGAGCGCCGAGGGGGCGCGGGGCAGGGGACAGCAGGGGTGCCACCTCACCGTCACGCCACAGCTCCTGGTGCAGGAAGGCCAGCCCGCGGGCCAGGGACAGCGCCAGGCGCACGCTGCCCGCCCACGTCCCCACGTGCTGGCCCAGGAAGTGGCGCAGGGAGCCCTGGGGACACGCGAGGGACGCGGGTGGGGGCGTGGGGCACCCCCCAGTACCTCCCACACATCTCCCCCCACAGAGCCCCATCCCCACCCCTGTGCTCCCCGACTGGCCCCCGCGCACCCTGAGCCCCGCCGCGACCCC